AAAAAAAAAAAAAAAAAAAACGAAAAACGCATACGAAAATTTTGGACTCAGTGTGCAAGGACCTTTACTCCCAGAACAGATTATTGGGGAGAGTGTGGTAAAAAAAAACAAGCTATTCGCCATCTTAGAAGCCAGTGTACCACCAGTATTACTTTAAAACTGATAGCCTATTTAAAGTAAAAAAAATACATACAGCTGCTGTGGTGATTGCATGAATAGTTGACCAAAAACAGCTTAAATTTAGACAGATGTTCATGTGTCTGTTCTTCTCAGTCCTCTGTGATGCTTGATGAAATGCCATATGCTGTTTGATAATATCTCATCATGACTTAGCTCTAGGGCTTCTTTTCTGACCATCAGTAATTGTTGATTTAATTAAGTGTTAAGTGTTAATTATTAAAGTACTAAGTGTTAATTATTATTAAAACAGACAGATTTGTGTGTATCTGTGTTTATACACCACTACCGGACAACCTATCTCTCTTTCTCTGGTTGATGCTGGAAATAAGGTTGTCTTATTCACTAATTAATTATTAATTTATTCATTTTTGAATTACATACGGTACCATTCAAAACTTTAAGGTTGATAAGATTTGTGTGTGTGTTTGTGTGTTTGAAAGAAGTTTCTTATTCCCACCAAGGCTTCATTTTATTTAATTAAAAATAAATAAAAATAGCAATATTGTGAAATAGTATTACAATTTTAAATGCCTGTTTTCTATTTGAATATATTTTAAAATGTAATTTATTCCTATGGTGATATTTGCAGCTGATATTACTCCAGTCTTCAGTGTCACATGATCCTAAAGAAATCATTCTGATTTGCTGCTCAAGAAAGATTTCTTCTTATTATGAGTCATTGTTAAAAACGGTTGTGCTGCTTAATATTTTTTGCGGAAGCCGTGATAATTTTTTTTTTAGGATTTTTTTGATGGACAGAAAGTTCAAAAGAACATTTAAAAAATATATATATATATTTTGTAACATTATAAATGTCTTGATCATTTTAATGAAAAATAAAAGTGTTAATTTATTGCTGCTCCCCAAATATTTTTTAAAATGATAATAAAAATATATTAATTTATGCACTATATATTACTTGTATAGAGAGTATACTACATTTAATTTAAATTTTATATTTATGAATTTACTATAATTCCCAATGTAAGAAGGCTATTTTTAATATGTACCTTTTATTTTTTCGTTGTATTTACAAGTATTAATTTCTGTATTATGTAAGCCGTGCTTGTGCACACACAAGGATGCATGAGTTTGAGTCCATCTAATTGTATGTGCAGGATGTGAAATGGCTCAACCTTAGATTAATTTCTCCCCTCCATTTGAGAGGTAATTGTACGCTAAAAGTGTTATTGTGCTATAAGGGTAAAAGACAAAACTGAACAAGAGTAAATGACTGCCTCACTCTCACACAGGAAATGGTCCTGATGGATATTGTTGGGTAGATAAAGCTTTTTAACCCCTAACAACACTACCGTCATCAAACCTTTGATTCATCTGAAGACCGAGTTAGTCAAAGTTGTGTACACAAAGTTTGGTAGCAACGTCAGAAAGTGTGGTGTGATAACAATTCCTTCTGTGCACAGGATGACCTTCAGGGGCCCGGACGGATCCAGAGCAGAGGATACTTCCTTTATCGGGTAGGTTATAATATGAATGACTACTCTTTATTGTTCAGCACAACATGGAAATGGAATGATCTTCTTTACATTAGTAGAAAAGCAATGTACAGTGCTGTAACCATCATAGGCATTGAGGGGCGTAGTTTTCCATAATATTCAGATTAGTTCAAATTAAAAATACCAATTAATACAAAATAGAAATATGTATTTTTCAAAAGTGTTAAATTATGACTATTGGTTCCTTCCAATCCTACATGATATTTACATACTAACTTGTTTTGTTCATTGTTCATGTGTTTTAGTAATTTTATGTTTAATTTATTTATTATCTCTTAGTTTTTTAATACTTTACATATTTCAGTTAGGTGGCAAAGCAACATTTTTAGTTTTCATTTAAGTGTTGAAGTTTAAATGTTTACTTAATGTTGTATTTTATGTCACCTTTATTTTAATTATGAAAATGACTAATAGTTTTATTTTTAGTTGACCTACAGTATTTCACATTTTAAAGATACTATTTTTTCTTATTACTCGAAAAAACACTTTTCTGTAAGTATTTTTCTCTGTTCTTTTCTGCAGCCACGAAATGGAAGAAGATCTGATGAGTATGTGTAAAACAATAAAGAATTGAAAAATCAGGTATTTTTAATTTTTTTACAAATGAGAAAAATCAGTTTAAGCCATACTTTTTTTCAATGTGTTTCTTACATGTGCACTGGGTCTAGAGTCACTTTAATCTCACAGGACAAAAATACAGAAACTCGTGTACATTAAACCTGTGAAAAACAAATTTTTTATACTAGTAACTAGTGTATCTGTTAATGTCTTTTAAAAAAAAATCATTTTTGATGAATATTTTCAGCAGCACCAGACCCCGTCCTGCAGGTGTCCTGATCCAGAGCCAGTCAACCTTGAAACGTCACGTTACACCCCTCTATTGAATTGTGATGTTGAATGTACAGACAGAATCCAAATAAAGTCTATTATCTGTTCAAACATTCCTGTTTGTGTAACTGTGCCGTGTCTTTTGAATTAAAAGCATTATAAAATATTTCTTCATTGTGGCAGTGTGATTTTGACCAAACTCACTGTATGTGTTTTACTGTACATTGGAATGTTACCAAAGAACAAAGAAATAAAACCTTTTTCCCTCTCCATTTATTTATTGAAAGCACTAGTGCGACTCTGGTCCATTCTCTCTTTCTCTTGATGAATGTGTGTTTTTGTTAGCCCGCTATCTACAACGATTAGTCAAAAAGCATTCATCAAACTTCACTTCCGATCACTGCCATTTTAATTGGATTTGTACATCTAAACAGCATGTTTCATGAACTGCATCCTTTCTGATAAACATCTCTTTATCGGTTTAGTAGAATCTTGCTTATGGTCTATTGTTGTCATAAACACATATATTTATTAAGCTGTTGCCATACTGTGAGGATGAACTGGGGCCTGAAATAACAAAGTAGGTTACGTCATGGATCGTGACTGCATTTCCTTTAAGAAACGTGACACAAAGTAAGAGTGGGAACATGAGGAAGATCTCCGCTTCTAGACAGACAGACCTAGAGGGTACGACTCAAAACACATTAGTCCTGTTGTGGGTGTTTTGTAGGGGGCTGGGTGTGAAAAAGGAAGCTTCGGGGCTGTGAAAAGACGTCGAACGCAATCAATCCAAGGGTATGAGAGGAGTACACAAATGAAACACACACTGGACCTGTTCAAGCTTATCTTGTTATCATCTAATTTGGGTTAGAAACACAAACATTGCTGGTTAGTTGTAAATTGAAGTGACCCAGGACCCTGGAACTCTGATTACTTTCCTCTTCTGAAACTTAATACATTTTTATAATAGAAGCATAATTAGCTTAATTTACAAACTTAATACCAAAAGAATCATCTTCTCTTTCCTCCTTCATTTTAGTTGTTTTATTTGCAATGTTTGCAGTTTTAACTCACACATGCACAACCAAAATTATGAAGAAAACAATCATTTTTTAAGTTAACTGTACACTGAAAAAAATGATTAATTTAATTTACTAAATGTTTTTTTAAGGTAAGTGGTTGCAACTAGTGCTGTCAAACGATTAATCGCATCCAAAATAATTTTTTTTTTTTTACATAATATGTGTGTGTACTGTGTATATTTATTATGTATCTATAAATACACACACATACAGTATATATTTAAGAAAAATATGTTATGTTTATATATTAAATATATTTATATATAATATAACATATAATAATATAAATATATAAATGTATATACATGTAAATATTTTCAAAATATATACTGAATGTGTTTGTTTTTATATGTACATAATAAATGAACACAGTACACATAAATATATTATGTAAACAAAAACTTTTATTTTGGATGTGATTAATCGCGATTAATCGTTTGACAGCACTAGTTGCCATTAATTTATTGTAGCTGCATTTAAATAAACAAATTTAGTTGTCTAACTTTCAACATGTTTTTATTTTTTAAATGTAGCTAAAATAAATTGTTTGCAGCCACTTAAAAAAATTTAGTAAATTCAATGAATTTTTTTTTGTGTATTTGTAGATAATAATTATGAAATAAAAGGCAGCTTAATTGCACTTCAACTTTTATGGTACAATGTTCCTAATACATTTGTTAAAAAGTGCACTTTGTAAACGAGTACACATATTTTGATTTGTTGACTAATATACTAAAAAACTAGTTACATGAAAAAAGTAATATGATTACATAACTCACATTAGATCACATGGATCATTTTCCATGAAGATATTTTGTAAATTTCCTACCGTAAATATATCAAAACATAATTTTTGACTAGTAGTATACAATGCTAAGAACTTCATTTGGACAACTTTAAAGGCGATTTTCTCAATATTTTGATTTTTTGCACCCCCAGATTCCAGATTTTCAAATAGTTGTATCTCGGCCAAATATTGTCCTATCCTAACAAACCATACATCAACAGAAAGCTTATTTATTCAGTTTTCAGATTATTTCAGTTTCAAAAAATTGACCCTTACGATTGGTTATGTGGTCCAGGGTCACATATAGAATAACACTACAGTTCAAATTCAAAAGTACAGTAATGCATTACTTTTTTACATTACATTTTACATTACTTTACAAGAAAATATTGGAGTTTCTTTTTCAATTACTTAATGTAAGATTACACTTACATGTAAAGAGAAATCGGTAGTAAGTGCAAGTTGATGTGTGTGCTGTAAATTATTATGGTTGCTGTATTTCTAGACTAAATATGAACATGCATTTACTCATCTCTCATCTCTCTTGGACAAAAACAAATTCAGTATTCCTCAGAATTAATAAAATATTACACAAACCTGCAATAATTAAGTGTTAACATAAAAATCCATTATGTATTTAATCCCATTTTATTAACCAGTGTCTTTGCTGCTAACCAATGATCCAGTTCAACCACACTAATAAGCAAAAATTACTTTAGATAAACATAACTTTTTTTTGTGTGATTGAGAAGAAAGTGTTGAGAGCTTTCCTCTCTTGCATCCTATTCTTCATGCAATCCAGAATAGCAGCACAGCTGAAAGGTTTGTTTGAGCTTGTTCGTTTCACTTTTGGCTTGAAAGGACTTGCCAAAAATAGAACTTTTTATATTAAAAATAAACAAGCAAACCCAGGCTAGATGAGAAAAAAAGTAATGCAAGAGTAACAAAAGCCCTTGCGTTCCATAAAAAGAAACTAAACGAGGTTAATTAGCTATTTAGGGAGTAACACAATATTGCAATGCATTACTTTTAAAAGTAACTTTCCCCAACACTGCTGCATTTAATATAAATTTAAACTATAATGATTTTTATTTAATTGCAATTAACATCAGTTCACACTTAAGAATATTCGTTTAAAGCATACTATTTCCTTAATAAGTATTATTTTTAAAAGTATGATAAAATGTACTTATTTTTCCACAAGGGAATACAAAAATCATAAAAAAGGAAAGAGAATTTCTAAGTAAACGTTTTGTACCTCATTTACCCCTAAAGAGTGCGTATTTATACATTTGCACAGGTCTAAATGATCACTTAAATATCTAAAACGAGAATATGTCCTGTATATAACGTAGAAATGGAGTCAAAAGATGAATTTAATATGATAATAGCACCACCGTGTGGTTATTTTTCCACTGCATTATAGTGGCGCGTTGACTAAGCTTTGCTCCACTGGGTGTCACGCGATCTCCACTCATCATAATAACAGCGCCTGGCAAACAAAGCCAAATCGTTTTTATGATAAAAATATGATTATAATTTCCTACATATTCTCCGTCATGAAAAATAGCAGTGGGCTAAACTCGAGTTGTCATTACTAGCCTACTTTAAAGGCCAAGTAAATAAAGTACTATTGTCTCACACACTGACATTTTAACAGGCTAAACAATAGGGGTGTAACGGTACACAAAATAAAATTTCTAAGCTATTTGTTAAAATATATTCAATTACACAATGGCTGTCATAGCATGTTTCATAACAGATTAATTTAAACATACTGTACATTAAATAATTAAGACTAACAGGTTTAGTAAAATATAATGAGTATATGGTGTAATATTTTGCAAAATGCTCCTCTCTAGACTTCATTTCTCTAGTGAACGAACGAGCGGTGGACACTGATGACTTGCTGAGGTAAATTAAATGCTACGTGACATTTTATTTCCACGCTGTATTGTTGATGTCTTTCCGCGGTTGAAACACTGATTGAGCAATTACATGAGGCATGAGATGTTCAGTCATGTTTATTCGCGTTAAAACTAGTAGTACAGAGGAAGGAATGATCGCGTTCACTCGCGCTCCGCTCTGCACAAATCTGCGGGGCGTCACGGCTCAGACACGGGAACCGGAGCTGATCGCGTCCGCTCTAGTTAGTGCTTGTGTTGGGATTATACCAGTACGTTTCTGAACCGTCCAGGAAGCGGCTCTCCAAGGCGTTTATACAGCGATCTGTCATGCCACATCAAAGACTGTCAAAACGCCATTTATTATTTGAATTTCCGGAGAAAAAACAAAAAAAAAACTGTATTCGTTCGGGTCACATGCGTACCGAACCGAAAGACCCGTACCGAAACGGTTCGGTACGAATACGTGTACCGTTACACCCCTACTAAACAATAATTAGCAGAAAAACAGCTTGCAAAATGTGCAATTCGCACGAATAGCGTGTTCAAATAGGCATTTTTTCTTTTCCCCCTTTTTAATTTTACTATAAACAATAGAATTTTATCATGTTGAGTTAGATTTAAACATGAACAGACATCAACATTTCCACACGTCTGTGCGTGCTTTCTACCACACTGATGTGTGTGTCACTGAAACATTTACATGTTTTCACTACAGAAATTAGTACTATGGACTTAATGCAAATTATGTAAAGGTTTTTAAATAGCCTTCTATAAACAACGTAAAATTGCGTTGGGCCTCGTTTAACACAAGCAATAACTTTTCATCCACAACTGCTCTTAAAATAGTCAGATGCAACACAATATTTTTTACCCTCCATGAACTAAACGTCTTTACTGTGCGGCACTCGCACCATCTTTCTATTGGACAACACAACTGTCAATCAACACGTCATGCACTAAAATTTTCGCGCGCACTGTGGTAATTTCAAGGTAGGTTGACGTGCATATTTGACCTAATTGGCGTTCGGCCAAGAGAAAGAGCGACACATGTGGCCCAAATATTAGGAACGTTTGTATAACATAAAATTCACACCAAAACACAACAATTAAAAGATAGCAGGGTATTGTCTGTTTGAAGTTATAGAAACTTTATATTTTCTTTTGTAAATGCTTACATGTTTCATTTTTATTAATTATATACAGTTTTATCCTTTCTTTATCTGGTATAAATAAGTCGTTTAGGCCACCTCTATATGATTCCCTTAGCGTTGAATAACCTTTGTTTTGTTTTTATGAATTTTCGGTTACCTCAGTTGTG